ATATATATATATATATATATATATATATATATATAGTTTTGTTCTGTTCTATTCTATTCTATTCTATACTATTCTATTCTAATGTTAATATTTTCTTTGTTCTGTCTATTTCTTTAGGCCATTTCTGTTTTGTGTAATTCTGTTTTACTCTGCTCTATTCTATTTTACTCTGGTTTTCTGTTCTTTGTTATACTTCATTCTATTCCTGTCAAATTATTCCAGTTTTATTCTATTCTGTTCTATTTTATTTAGTTCTATTCTTTTTTTATTCTATTCTATTGTTCTATTCTATTTTGTTCTATTTTATGCTATTCTATTCTGTTCTAATCCATTCTATTCCATTCTGTTCTACTCTATTGTATTCTGTTCTATACCATATTATTCTATTCTATTCTAATCTGATATATTTATTTAGATCTGTTTTATTTTATTCTACTCTATTCCATTCTATTCTATTCTATTCTATTCTATTCTATTCTATTCTATTCTATTCTATTCTATTCTATTCTATTCTATTCTATTCTATTCTATTCTATTTAACTCTAATCCAATCTTGTTTGTTTTGTTATGTTTCATTTCATTAGTTTCTTTTCTTTTCTATTCTGTTCTGTTTTACTTAATTCGGCCCTCATCTGTTTCTTCTTTTACTCTTTTCTTTTCTTGTGCTCCTAATGATCCTCTTTTTTGATGATTGTTGTGAGACGAACATTTTATTTCTGACTTTAATTATTTACTTGTTCATCCCAGAAAAAGTGACTTTGACCCAGTCTAGAATTATGTATGAATCACTATATAGATAAATTAGTCTTGGCTTGAGTTTGGTTTTATTCTGCAGTTCCTCTGATGTCCACTAGGCGTCTGCTGTGTGTGTTTGTCATTCAGTTATTCTCAGTGACAGACAAACTCAGCAGTGACAACACTAAATCTGCTCATTCTGTCAGCACCATCTGTGACACACACACACACACACACACACACACACACACACACACACACACACACACACATACACACACTGATGTGAGTAACTCTGTTATGTCTGTTGTGTAGTTCTGTGCTGTATGGAGGGTTTTATGAGAAGGTTAAAGCCACAGACACACAGAAGGGGAAGACTGTGACAGGTAACCATATGACACACATTTACATATACCTGCAGCACTTCTTTAACTATGAAAATAGGCCAAAGTTATGTTTCTGTAATAGAAATAATAAGCTTTTTATATTCTATTTTAGTAACACTGTTTTTGCTTTCCATTTTCATGGCTGAACTGTGTTTGTTTTCATTACAGTAAATATAGATAAATCTAAAAGTTTGTTTATTATAATAACTGTCTTGATGATTTCTAAAACCACAAATTGTAAATAATTAATGAAAAATATTGTTTTATTTAATTTTATTTTGTTTTCCTTTTGCTTTGTTTTAGTTTTTATTTTATTTTATTTTATTGTGTTTTGTTTTATTTTATTGTGTTTTATTTTGTTTTGTTTTATTTTCTAATTTATTTTATTTTATTGTGTTTTGTTTGTTTTGTTTTATTTTGTTTTATTTTTTAAAATTTATTTATTTTATTGTGTTTTGTTTTATTTTGTTTTATTTTATTGTGTTTTATTTTGTTTTGTTTTATTTTATTTTTTATTTTATTTATTGTGTTCTGTTTTGTTTTATTTTTTATTTTATTGTGTTTAGTTTTGTTTTGCTTTATTTTTTTATTTATTTATTGTGTTTTTATGTATTGTTTTGTTTTATTTTGTTTTATTTTATTTTATTTTGTTTTGTTTTGTTTTGTTTGTTGTATTTTGTTTTGCTTTATTTTATTTTATAAATTTTTTATTCATTTATTATTTTTGCATTTTAGCTTTTTTTAATGCACCAAAATATAAATAAAATCTATAATAAACTAGTGAAATATTATCATGTAAAATAAAATCCTTTAATCCTTTAAAATAAAATCCAGAATTCATTAGTGATTCACAACTGGAAAAGCTAATAAACATTTCA